TGCTCTTGGCTCTGTCCAGGGATGTCGATCCTGCAGCTCTTGCCCCCATGGTTCCCCCACCCCATGAGAATATCATCCCACTTATTTTGCTTTTTTTTGGAAAGATGTGTGGAAAATCTGGAAAACTTGACCTGCAAACCAAGGCAGAGGGAAAACAAACCTCTCCTGATGTTGTTGCTGGTTTTGGGGGTGATGGGAGAGCAGCAGTGGGCATGGGAGGCAGGGAAGGCTCTGATTCACAATTCCTCATCCCACAGTGTTTACAGCGCTTGGGTGGGAAAAATACCTGTTCCCAGGAATGCTCCTCGGTAGGCTTGGCTTTCTCCCCGCTGCCATCGCTTAGTAACAGCTCTATTTTTAAATGCTAAGAGGGTAATAGCCCAAAAAACGGGAGTTTGCTCAGTTTCTGATCCTGCAGGCTCCAAACCCAGCGGGATGGGGCCCTTGGGATGGGCTGGGAGCTGTGGGATCGGGGCCAGGAGCTGCCCACACCAACCTCCAACGCTCCAGCTGGGCCAGGAAAACCCCAAATGGGAAATCTCAGCCCGTGGGGATCTCCTGGAGAGGGAAGTTTGTTCCTGGGCCCTGGAGCTGTCCTTGGTGCCGTTCCTGTGCCAGCGGCTCCTCCCCGCACACCAGAGGAGCCCCGGAGCGGTGGGGAGGGACCTTAAAGGGGTTCCGGACCCTCAAACACCCACGGAGCTGCGTCCATGGGCAGGCGCAAACCCCAGCAGAGCCAGGCACCGTCCCTGACACGGCCACAGCAGCCCACGTCTGGCACAGGGGGTTGTTCATCCCTGCTTTCCCTTTCCTGTTGGGATTCTCCATCCCTGCTTTCCCTTTGGGATTGGCAGCACTGGGAGCTGCCCAGGATCGTCCATCCCTTTTTTCCCTTTGGGACTGGCAGTGCTGTGGGGCGGGGAGCTGCCCGGGATCGTCCATCCCTGTTTTCCCTTTGGGATTGTCCATCCCCGATTTCCCTGTTTTCCCTTTGGGATTGGCAGTGCTGGGAGCTGCTGGGATTGTCCATCCCTGTTTTCCCTTTCCCTTTGGGATTGTCCATCTCTGTTTTCCCTTTCCCATTGGAATTGTCCATCCCAGTTTTCCCTTTCCCTTTGGGACTGGCAGTGCTGCCCGGGGCTGCTCCCCTCTCTCCCAGCTCACCCCCAGGGCCCAGGTTTCCCTTGGAGAGGCAGAGAAAGTTCCCGTGGTCCCTCCCAGGTGGAAGGCAGTGGGACAGGGGATGGACAGAGCCGTTCCAGCGCAGCCCAGCCAGGCTGCGCTCCTGCTGCAGCGCCTGCAGCGCGCTGTGCCACACGCTGCTGCGGAGTGCAGCCACTGCAGCGGGGAGGGAAGGGAATTGCCATGCCTGGGCTGCGAGCTGGGAGCTGGGAGCTGCGGGCAGAGGCTGTGAGAGCCCCGGCTCTGCCAGCCCGGCAGCAGCAGGAACCTCTGCAGCAGAGCAGCCCCGCCGGCAGTGACCTTCAGCTGCTCTTCACATCCCAGCCCCGGCTGCCAGAGCCCTGCCCGGCCTGGGGGAGCTGCCAGGGAGCCCTGGGGCTGGAAACTGGGATTTGGACGCTTCTTGTAGGCATGGAGAGCTCAACTGCTCCAGGAACTGGAATAGGAGGGGAGGGCTCTGTGCGCCGCCTGATCGCCAGGAACTTGAAAATAGAAATTGGATCAGGGATTCTCCTGATAACATTCCTGACCCCTGTGGCCAGCACTGGACAGCCCAGTGGCTCCCAGGACACTCATGGAATCACGGAATCCCAGGCTGGTTTGGCCAGAAGGACCCTAAAGCTCGTCCCATTCCAGCAGGGATCCCTGCCTCTGTCCCAGGGCACATCCCAGAGCAGGAGACCAGGATCATCCCAGCTCCTCTCCTGGATTCCTTTGTCCTTCTGATGAGACAGGGAACAGGCAGCAGCCTCATCTCCCTGGCTGCTGTATTTTATATCAGGTTTTTAAAGTGCTTCCAGAAGATAGAAACGGAATAATTTCAGTGTTAAAAGAAGAAATTAGTTGTTCCAGTTTTAAGAGTTACCGTTTTTGCAGGTCCAGCCTGATGATGTCATCGCTCCAGAAAAAATGAACTTTCTCCCAAATTGCCTTCAGCGCAGGGATGTAAATATCCCAAGTTATGCCAGTGTCATGCTGATGGAACAGCTCCAGCAGCTCCTCATGGACAGTGACAATTATCCATCGGTTGCACACTGGGGATGAGGGGGGAGGCAGCACCCAGCTGCTTTTTGGGTTTCCATGAAGATTTTCCTTCCTTTCCCACCCTCGTTTTTCATCTCCTGAATTCTGCCTCAATGAAAATTCCCAAACTTGTGGAGCTTCTTGGGCAGAGCCTCCAGGTCCCTCCTGCCCAGCACTGTCCCCCTCTCCCAGCTCCCATCTGGACTCTGTCACCACCCACAGAGGGTGACCTGAATGTCCCCTGTGTCTGTGGCACCAGGGCCTTGTCCCCTCCTCTCAGCCCCACAGTGAGAGGCTCCAGAAAGGGAGATCAGCCTTGTCTGGAAATACTTCAAGTAGTGAAACCAGAGGGGAAAATATATATTGGGAATTCTAAAGGGAAAATGTTCAAGGCTGTGCAGCTCCACCATTTATTGAAGAGAAAGAACTCAGTCCTTAAAACTGTTCCTTCTCGCTGTAGTCCAGACTTTTAAAAAATAAGGAATGAAAATATCTTTATTTCAGGGTTATCTATGTGCTGCTTTGATTTACCCCCCATCTTCCCAGCTGGATTTGACCAGACCCTTCTGAGCCCAAACCTGCACAAGGCTGCTAGGGAACACATCCAGCTTTCCTGGGAAATTTGCTGAAATGTTCTAAATCAATATTCTAAATCTTGCCTTAGCCAGGCCCACAGCAGGAAAGGGATTTTTTAATAGGAGCTTAGCAGGGGAAATGCATGGAAGAGCAGTGGCAAAGCCCAGCCTATGGACGTGTTCCACTGACCAGCTGGAGCTGTGCCCCAGCTGAGCTCAGGGATGTGCTGGCATCCACATTTCTCACTATTCTGGCCTGCTCTTTGCTGGCCTTGCTTTTCCTGCCTCTGCTGGAGCCGGTGGAACACTGTGGAACTGCTGTGAACTGATGGGAACTGAGGATTTCAGTTCCACAGCTCCAGCCTTGGGGGGTTTGGTTCCCACCTCCCCCTGGCACATCCCTGTGCTCCTCCCTCTCCACACTTTCCTTTTCAGGGAAGAAAAGTCTCTATTTTCTCATTAAGGACTCAGCCCTTCCAGGGGTTTTCCAGCTCCTTCGTGCCCTTCAGGACCTTGTTGCTTTTCAGGAACATCAGGAAAGGAAAGAACTCTCAGCTGTAAGAAAAGATCCCTATCTTGTGCTACTGTGGATCTCCTGGAGACAAATTTCCATCACCTGTCACAAACTGTCCCTGTCCCAGCTGACAATGGACACCCCCCATGTCACCCCTGAGATCAGAATCACTGGGTTGGGTGGGAAGGGACCTTAAATCCCACCCAGTGCCACCCCTGCCATGGCAGGGACACCTCCCACTGTCCCAGGCTGCTCCAGCCCCAATGTCCAGCCTGGCCTCGGGCACTGCCAGGGATCCAGGGGCAGCCACAGCTGCTCTGGGCAGCATCAAACCAGGGTATGTGAGCTTTGAGCACTGCAAAACATGCTGGTGGAAATTTTCCAGGCCTAATTTGACTTCCCACTCAGAGATGGAGAGAGTGGGAGAAACTGGGAGCATCCCCAGAGCAGGAATTCCTCCACCAGCAAAACAGGCAGAGGAGAGGCCATCAGTGCCAGGGCTGGGGCGTTCACTGCTCGATAAACCCTCCTGTGACCCTCCTCCAGCTCCCTGCTGCCAGGCAGATTGCACGGAGCAGGAAGAGCGAGGTGCTGACCTCCCTCAGCACAGAGCTGCGGAGCCACAGTGTCACCATGGCCATCCCTTGTCACTGCCAGGCCTGCCAGCGCCCCTGGGTGGCAGTGGCTGCCCCAGAGCCCCAGAATGGGACACGGCAGGAGCAGGGCTGGCTTCGCTGCCTTTGGGAACCGGCTGAGCAGCTCCACGAGTTGCTGCTGCCACAGCCGCTCTGGGGAGCACCGGAGCGGCTGCAGGAGCCCAGCCCGGGGCGGTGATGTGGCCAGAGGTGTCCCTGCCCTGGCAGGGGTGGAACGAGCTGAGCTTTAGGGTCCCTCCCAACCCAAGGCGTTCTGTGTTTCCATGAGCCCCGGAGGGATCCCGGGATCGCTCCAGGTCACACGCAGGGACAGGGTGGGACAGGCCCGGCTGTGTCCTGCTCCGTGCTGTGGCGGGTGATGCTCCTGGGGATGGAGGGCACCCAGGGCAGCCTCACCCCGGGCACGATGCCCCCGCCGGGTGTTCCCCGTGACTCCCGCGGTTGTAGCCCGTGGCCTGCGACACCGCAGCCCGCAGGGGACACCGAGCTGTCCCCAGCACTGCCCGCGCAGCGCCCGGGAGGCTGCGAGCCCCTTCCCGCACCTCGGCCCGGGCGCGGAAAGGCTCCTGCGGGGCAAAGGGGCCATGCGGCGGCCGGGGGCTGTCCGGGGCCGTGCCTGGGGCTGGGGGATGCCCCGGGGCCGTGCCTGGGGCTTGGGGATGCTCCTCTCGCGGGACGCCCCGTCGGGACGGGGACGGGCGGCACCGCCTGCGCGCACCGCACCGCACCGCACCGCTCCGCGCCGCACCTGCCCGCAGCGCATCCCCCGCGCATCCCACACGGCATCCCCCGCCCCGCATCCTCCGCGCCGCTCCGCACCGCCCCGGGGGGGGGCGCGGCCGCGTCCCGCCCCCCCGCACCGCCCCTGCGCCGCCGCGGAGCGCAGCGCGGGCGCGCAGCGGGACCGGACCCGCCCCGCCGCCGCCGCCACCGCCGCCGCCGCTTTGTGTCTGGGCGCCGCCCGCGGAGGCGGAGCGGGCCCGGCCCTGGGCTCCGCGGCGCGGCGGGGCGGGCGGCGGGACAGCCGCGGGCAGCCCCCGGCGGCGCCCGCGCAGCCCCCGCACCGCGGCTCGGCCGCGCATGGACGCGCGCTCCCGCCTGCACCGTGAGTACGCGGGAACGGGGCCGGGCGGGCGCGCAGCCCCGGGGATGCCCGGGCCGCCCCCGCCCCCGGGCGCGGGAGGGAGCGCGGGGCGGCTCCGCCGAGGACAAAGGAGCGCGGGGCGCGCTCGGTGCGCGCAGCCGGGCCCGCTCCGCGCCGCCGCCCCCGCGCAGCCCCCGCGGCGCCGTGACGGCCCGGGCTGTGCCAGCACCTGCCTGCGCGGGGGTCGGGCTCGGCGCGGCTCCTGGAAAATTCTGCGCCCTTCGCAGCGCCGGTGGAGGCGCGGGGAGGTGCGGAGGAGGCTCCTTCCCTCCCTCCTTCCCTCCCTCCCTCCTTCCCTCCCTGCGCGCAGGGACATCGCCGCCTCCCGCGGTCCCGCGTGGCGCTGCCGCTGCATCCCCGGCCGGCACCGGCCCCGCTTTGTGTCCGGCCCGGTTGGTGTCCAGCCCGTTTGCCCGGCCCGTTTGCCCTGCTGCACCAGCTGCGGGCCCGGGCTCTGAGGGCACCGGCTCACCCCGCGCTGGGGTCTGGGGAAGGCTGGGCAGGGGCAGGGCCCGTGGTGCCCCGAGCCCGCATCCCCCGTGCCCGTGCCCGTGTCGCTGCCGAGGGACAGCGAGTACCCAGGGCACCGAGCTGCCATTGCTCGCGTTCTCTGGGCCAGGGAGGGTCACGGACAGGAGAGCCCCGCTGGAAGTTCCTTGGGGTTTGGGAAATAGAAACGGTCCGATGGGTGTTTGTGCCGTGCCCCTCACTCCATCTACATCCCTTCCCTTCGCTCCTGTCCATCCGTGATTCCCGGCTAAAAACGCCGGCCACGTGCCGTAGGCCGGTGCCTCTAACCTCAGGTGCTCGAGCGGCAATAATCCTTAGGAACAGCCGAAATCCAGAGCGGTTCCCCCAGCGCTCCACGAGCAGAGCAGTGACTTAATCCGGTGGGTTCTGCTGTTCCGCATCTGCTCGCTCAGCTCCTGGCGGAGGAGGAGGAGGGAGGAAGGAGGGAAGGAGGGATGCTCGCCATGGCAACCTCGCGGCGCAGATCGCGGCCGCTCCGGGGAAGCAGCGGGACTCGGGGAAGGAGCGGGAGCAGCCGGGCTCGGAACCGGCGCTCCCGGGCCGAGCGGTGCCTCTCGGAAAGCCTGGGCTGTGTGTGGGAGCGCTGCCGGCGCCAAGGTGCGGGTGTGCAGGGGGAAGGGGCCCTCGGGGAGGTCACGGAGCATCCTCTGCTGCAGCCGCAGTGAGAGGAGGGCTCCTCATCCTCCCAACGCCGTTCATTGCTGTGGTTATCCCGAAATTCCGGGATTTTGTCATCCAGCGCCTTGCTGTGCCGCGCAACCTTGGTGTCCCTGTGAACTTTAACCTTGGCCTGTGCTCCACCTGTAAAACTTTTCCTTGGGTAAAGCAGCAGCAGTTTTTATTTTTTTAATTACCTCACGGAGGAGGAGCTTTGCTCCGTGCTTCTGTTACAGAGCTGATGTGAAATCCCTAAAAAGGGGGGGTTAGATTGCACTGATTTTAGCAGTTGCTGGAGTAACAAAACCATTCCTGGGTGCCTGGTGGATGTGAGGAGCTGCAGCTCGGGAGCCAACGCTGCAGAGAGCTGGGCTGGAATGCCTGGGAAGGTGCTGCCTGCCCAGCAGCAAATTCCCCTCTCCCTGCACCTGCAGGGATTCCTCAGTGCTTCCCACAATGCATTAAAAATGGTTAAAGTTTAAAATCCCACAAAAAGCATTTTAAAAGGAAGCTTGGCCGCTGTCCCTGGAATATTTCGAGGCGGCAGCAGCGCCACTAGAGCCCCCAAAATTCAGATGAATCACCTCTGAGGGGTTTGCGTCTGGACGAGGCTTTGCTGGGAGCGCTGATCCTAGAGCAGAGACTCCAGGGATCCCAAACGCAGCAGGACATGGCAATGCATGGCTGGGGCTGGGTGGTGGTGGCCTCAGAATCCCCCCAGAGCCCCGTGGCCACTGAGCCACCCCCAGCTCTGTGCTGTCCCCAGGGCCTGGGCAAACCTGGGAGAGGCCTGGCATCAGGGATGGGAGACTGAGGGGCAGCAGGGCTAAAAAATGGTGAATTTTATCCTCCTGGGCATTCAGGGAATGTTATCCTCCTGGAATCCAGCTGACACCCCTTCCCCTGCCCATGGTGGGGAACAGAGACTCCATCCCTGGGGCTGCTCCATCCCTGGGCTGCTCCATCCCCAGGGCTGCTCCATCCCTGGGGCTGCTCCATCCCCAGGGCTGCTCCATCCCCTGGGCTGCTCCATCCCTGGGAATGCTCCATCCCTGGGGCTGCTCCATCCCTGTGCTGCTCCATCCCCGGGGCTGCTCCATCCCTGGGAATGCTCCATCCCCGGGGCTGCTCCATCCCCTGGGCTGCTCCATCCCCAAGGCTGCTCCATCCATCCCCAGCCGTGCTCCAGGGCTGCCCATCCCGGCTGTCCCCGCCTGGGAAGGGGCTGGGGACGCTCTGTGAGCAGGTACAGCGGGAGCTGCTCCCCTGCAGGGTGTGAATCCACCGGGCTGATCACCAGCACGGGAAGACCCGCTGGGACACGGCTGGGTGCGGGAACGCAGCCCCGGCCCCCGAGAGGTGTCCCAGGAACATCCGGGGCCACTCGAGAATCCCACTTAGGGATTTCGGTGGATGCGAGCCCAGCGCAGCCCGAGCTCCTCGAGGTGGTACCAAGCCCTATTTAAAGATTTCCAAGAGCCACGATGTGTCCTTGGTTTTCATCTCAGCTCCCTCTAATTTTAGCGTGGTTTCCGTAGGCTCTCATTTGCAGATTGCATCAAATCCTAGGACGAGGCTTGCAGAACTCGGGGCTGGGTGGGTTTTTTTTGGTTGGGATTTTTTTTTTTTTTCCCTGGGAATGCAGCAATTTGTCGAGAGCAGAGAAATCCTCCGTGTTTGGCTGGGCAGAGCCGCCCCTCCTGGTGCGAGCTGCGGAGAAGTTGGGGAAGGGAGGAAGGTGGAGGGATGAGCAGGGATGGTGGAGGCAGCTGGGGATGAGCCTGGAGAGCCCCGGGGAGAGGCTGCTGCCGGCAGGGCTGGAGCCAAGCGCAAAATTAGGGGAGGAAAGGAGCCCTAAATCCCCGCGCTCTGCGAAGGGGGAGCGAATGCCGTGTTAATGGATCAGGTTCTGGTGAATAAAGAAGAAAAGAAGCTGTAAGCTCAGGAAGGCTCTTTTTCATCAGAAGGAGGAGAACATTGCTCATCCTTTAGTTCCCTTGGATCCGGAGTGAATGACTTTAGAGCCACAGGAGTTTAAGCTCATCGGAGGAAAACGGTGCTTCTTTTTCATTTTTTTTCTTTTTTTTTTTTTTTTTTTTTTCCTTCCCGAATATTTTTCTGGGAGAAAGATTTGGAAATGAGACTTGGAGCCAAGAGAACCTGCGGAGAGCGAATGTAGCCTTCTCTAGGCTAGGAAGCAGTCAGAAACAGCCCGAATTTGGCTGAGGCGGGCGAAGGGGAGCGCGGAGCGGATCCGGCCGGGATGTAGGGAGCGGCGGTGGGACTGGGAGTGCCGAGCACATTCCCATGGCCGGGAATCCAGCGCTGGGCTCCGCATCGCCAGGCATCGCATCGCATCACGCTCCCGCCGCGTGAAGACGTCCTTGGCGGATCTCGGATTGAAATAAAGCGCTCGGCCGAGGGACCCGCCGGCGGTCACACCCGGCACCGAGGAGCCCTCGGACAGCGGCGGCGGCTCGGGCATCGTGCGGCGGGGCGGCGAGAGCGTCCCTCGGTGCTGCCGGCGCCCGGAGCTGCCCCGGCGCTGGATCCGGCGGGACTCCGACCCCGGCTCCCCGCGACCGCCTCGGCCCTGGATTGTGGGGCAGCCCCGCTGCGGCAGGGCCCGGGCAGCGATGGCATGGCACGGGCACGGGCACGGGCACGGCGGCGTGCCCGAGTTCCCCCCGCGGGGAACGCGCCGGGGCAGCGGCTTCAGCCCCAACGCGAGCCACGGCCGGAGCCGCGAGCGGGGCCGGCGCCGGCGCTGGGCGTCCCTGCTGCAGAACCCAGCCCTGCTCTGCAGAGGTGCCGGGGCCGCGCGGGGGCACGGCGGGGGCACGGCTGGGGGTTCGGGGGGCACAGATGGGGGATTCGGGGGGCACAGATGGGGGATTCGAGGAGGAAAACCTGCGGGATTCGGGGGGACAGATCCTGGTGGCCTTATGGAGACAGACCCTGGTGGTTTTATGGGGACACACCTGGGGGGCTTTATGGGGACAGACCCTGGTGGCTTTACGGGGACAGACCTGGGGCGTTTTGGGGAGACAGACCCTGGTGGCTTTACGGGGACACATCCTGGTGGCTTTATGGGAACAGACCCTGCAGGGCTCGGAGCTGCTGTCATGAGGAGACACAGCTGGGGACACCTGGGGGGGCTTTATGGGGACGGATTCTGGTGGCTTTATGGGGACGGATTCTGGTGGCTTTGGGGGGACAGACCCTGCAGGACTCAGAGCTGCTGCCATGAGGGGACACGGCTCGGGGAGGGGGACAGACCTTGGTGGCTTTAGGGGGACAGACCCTGCGCTGCTGCCACGAGGGGACACGGCTCTGTGGGGACAGACCTTGGTGGCTTTAGGAGTGACAACAATGGCTTTGGTGAGGGACAAACCCCACTGGGGGTTGAGGAGATGCTGGCAGGAGGTGATACAGCTCTGTGGGGACACAGCTTGGTGGCTTTGGGAGGGACAAACCCCACTGGGGGTTGAGGAGATGGTGCCAGAAGGGGACAGAGCTCTGGGCAGAGGGACTTTGGTGGCATTGAGGGCCAAGGAGCTGAGCTGTGGCTGCCAGGAGCTCTGGCTCCAGCTCTTCCCAGGTCAAACCCCAGCAATCTCTGCTTCTCCTGCTTTTTTTCCAAATGTATAAAAAATCAGCTCTATCCAGACACCCCCACAAGTTCTGTTTCCAGCACCACCTTCCATCTTCCCTTCGCTGCTGCCCTTCCCCAGTGTCTTTGGGGCAGGGGTTCCTCAGCCCTGGGATGTGTT